CGGTGCAGTGTCGGGTGCAATGTCGAGTGCAGTGTCGAGTGAGGTGTCGAGTGCAGTGTCGGGTGCAGTGTCGGGTGCAGTGTCCGGTTTTCAGTGTCGTGAATGTCGAGTGTGGTGTCGGGTGCAGTGTCCGGTTCAGTGTCGGGTGCAATGTCGAGTGCAGTGTCGAGTGCAACGTCGAGGCCTGATTGGTGCGACACCACCGTGTGGGGGCGCTCGCGGAGGACCTCCCGAGGAGACGTGGGCGGCGCCAGCCGAATACTCGAGTTCCGATTGGTGGGCGGGCGGCTGTGGGCGGGAGTAGGAAGATATAAGTGTGGGGGGTGTGGCCTGATTGGTGTTCGAGCCGCGGGAGGTAGGTGGGTGGCATGGGAGAGTCAGAGAGTGGACTTGGCTAGACGTGTGTGTGGGCTCCGGCGGCTGGCGGGGCGCGGGAGTAGGGAGCTGCACGGGTGGGCAAGGGTACAGGGTCCGAAGCCTGGTAGGTGGAAGGCTTCCTTGAGGTGTGCGGCATGAGTAACGGCAGTGAAGGCGTGGAGACGGTGGACGGCAAGTGGCGATGTGAGGCAGGAACCCATTTAGGGGCAGGAGCACTGGTCCGTAGGCTGAGTGGGGGTGGTGCATGCTAAAGCCTCGCAGTGTGGAGGAAACGCATCTGGTGGCTCTTGAATGAATGATGTCTTTCTCGGAGGTCTCCATCACACGAGGCGGTTCGGTTGACTTAACATCAGGCGCACCCATGTGCTTTGGGCTTTCCGATTCATAGGCAAAGAACCTTGGTGGGGCAAGGTGGGAGAGGGCGATGGTACTCCTTGTCTGCAGTTTTCTTCACCCAGGCAGCCTGCAGCGAAGACATCTAAATACTTGTCATTTCTCAAAGCCACGTTTTGGCTTTAAATTAGGGTGAAGAAGGTGCTCAAATCGGTGCAGACTGTACAAATGTGTTATTGGTTCTGGGTTCTGGTTTTCTTTAAAAAGTATGTCTTTTTCTTGAGTATAGATGGACACTCCCAAAGAAACACCTGGCCAACTGAAGATACAGGATGATTGGTGAGATTTCAGAAATTTTATTTTCTTTTAGTTTTGTCCTACTCTGTTGGCAAAATGACTTTCTTGAAAAATACATGTTAATTTCCTTTGGAATCTACAGAGGGTATAAAATGAGAATTGTAAAAAGGGCTCTTAGAATTACAGGAGTCCGGCTTCCTACCTAGGGCACAAATCCTCTATGTAACAGAAACGTACAACTCCATTAATCAGCACAACACATTGTTGAATGTGTACAAGTTAAGTTTTAGGAAGTTCTTCAGAATACTTGTCTTTATGATATTTCCACCTTATTGTTTACCATGCTGCCTCCAGAAGTGTACAGATGGATAATAAGGTATTTTAAAATACTTGTCTTATCTCCTATAAGTCTTCTCTGTCCTAGAACACTGCCCTGTTTTCCTCCTTCACAGATAAGCATGTAGGTGTGTGATATGGGACAAGTAGAGACCATAGAACACAAGAGTCTAGAAATACAGCGAAATACATAAGAAAATATAATTCATGATAAAAATGATGTTTCAGATCAGCAGAGAAAAGATAGATTGATCAACAAATAATTTGAAGATAATTGACTGACCATTTGAGGAAAAAAAATTAGAATTGAATTCTTACTTTGTCACTCCTTATGCCAAAGTAAATTGCACATGATAAAATATTTAACAATGGTAAACGAAACCATTAAAAATATTAGAAAACAGGTGGATTTTTCTTTCCAATAATTTTGAAGTGGGGAAGGTTTTTTTAAGTTTGAAATTGAACAAAAGCATAAAATGACATAACAAAGAGAAAAGTGTTTGCATTATCTATATGAAAAGGCTGTTTTCGTTAATCTACAAAGAACTTTCACATATCAATTTAAAAAAGATGAAAAAACAAATGGAAAATGGGTCAAAAGATATAGAAGGTGCTTCCGAGGGGAAAAATACAAATGGTTCATAGACATAAAATTTATTCAACTTTTATTTATTTCTTTTTTAATTTATTTCCTTTTTATTTATTTTTTGTAGTCAAGGCAACCCTTGGTCGATCTCACAGATTGCAAGGACCTTGTCAGTTTACAATCCCTTATTTTTTTTACTTTTTTATTTTTTACGCCTACAGCACCTTGTCTTCCTCGATGGTCTCCCATCCAAGTACTAACCAGGCCCGACCCTGCTTAGCTTCCAAGATCAGACGGGATCGGGAAAATTTATTCAACTTTTAATTGTTACTTAAACTGAAATGAAAAAATTTAAACGATATATTATTTTTCTTTTATCAGATTGGCAAAGATTTAAAAAAGGGATAA